GGCGCGGGGCTGGAAGGTGGGACCGCGCGTGGAGAGGAGGATGGAGAAAAGAGAGAGCAGCAAGGATATGCTGCAAGGAGAGCAAGAGGCACGGCGAACAATTTGGAGACTGAGGAAAAAGGTTCAGCGAGTTCTGTCTACCATTGAGAGATTCAAAAATTGTACCTCGATCTCCAGCGATTGTTTAAAAAGAAACAAATTCTGATTATGTAGAGTTGAGGATGGGAGCATCTTTAAGTTTAAAAGCTCCCTCAGGTGTATCCACTGAGCTGCTAGATTTAGAAGCTCCTAGCCATTCTGTTTTTCGCCCTGCCTCAAGGATGGGGATGGGTAGGACTAAGCAGAAAGAATTTGAAAGTCATTAACTTTTATGTTACTTAAATCTATTATAAATCTAAACCCATTAAATAAATGTATTAGATGTCTCTGACGCAAAAATTTCGCAAGACAGAAAATGTTTCTAAAGTAAAATATTAACAAGATTAAAAGAAAGGGAATAACGCTGGGTCTCTGTAAAGACCTAGTGTCTGCATTCTCGGTGATGTGGGGTAGGTAACAAGATGCCAGAGAGAGTATAATTCTATGATATGGGGAAGCCATAGGAAGATTTTCAAGAAAGTCTCAGAAAGATTCTCAAGCTCCAGCATTGCCCCATAAAAGCAAAATGATATCTGCAAGCAAGACACAGATACCTAAAATAGAACCCCAAAATATAAAGGAACCCTGTGTCTAAGGATGAGAGGTGCGTGCCTACAAATTCCCCAAAACTGAGGTACTATGAAGGCTCCCTCAGAGTTTAACCACAACCCAGGGTCAAGGGGAGAGGACCATGAATTAACTGGGATTTCCTACCTCATAGACTGGGAATTCAAAAATTTTCAATCTAATTGGAATAAAAACATTTGTTTTGTTGCACTAAAACTTTTGAACTGGGATTTTATTCCTGAGATAGTATGTATATAATAAGTGTCCCAGTAGAAGTATGCATATGCACAGAGCAGAGTTTTAAAAGATTTTTCCTGGAGGAAATTTTCAGGAGGGGTGGAGTGGGGCTGGTGGAGAGGGCATTTCAAAAAGGGGGAACACATCATGTCCGATAAACGGAAGTATGAAACATCAAGCATTTAGTTTTTTGTTGCTTTTGTTTTCTTGTATTTTTATTAGGAGAGGAGATTAGGAAGAAAAGCAACAGAACGAAGGTCTGTAGATAATAAAACACATGGTAAGCATGGTAAGCCAGACCTGGGATCTCAGCCTTTATCTTGCAGGCAGTGGGAGAAATGTGATTGGGCTTCCATTTTAGAAGAATTATTCAAGGAAAATGAGTTGGAAACGTTTATAAAACTCAAAGCAGGGAGTCAGTGAGTTTAGGAGACTGTTGCAAGCTAAATGATGTCTACACTCATACAAAGGAAGTGGTAATTTAGGGAAGAGAAAGGATTACAGATATTTAGGAGATAGCATCAAAAGAGAATTAGTGATCAATAGATTATTGAGCCTAATGAGGGAGAGAGAGGAAATAAAAAATGGTTTCCAAAACATTTATAAAATCAAACACCATTGATCAGATTAAGAATAACAAGTAAAAAGTGAGTAGGTAAAAAAAAAAGCAGTAATGATTTAGTTTTGAATATTCCATGTTGTGCATGAAGTGTCTGCAGGACATGCTATATACTATGATTTCTCAGTCTTTGCTCAATAGACATTTTGGACCAGAAAATTCTTTACTGGAGGTATGGGGAGCTATCTTTTGCATTGCAGGATGTTTAGCAACATCCCTGGCTCCTACACACTGGATGCCTGTAGCAGCCTCTCTCCTAGTTAGAACAACCAAAAATGTCTCCAGGAGTTGCAAAGTATCCACAGGGGGCAAAACTGCCTCCAGTTTGACAACTATTGATGTACAGATGTATCTGTATAGGAAAGTATAAAGTCAAAGCAGAGGAGTTTCAGGAGTAGTACTCAACAGTGTCAGGCAGAGAAGCGAGGTAAGGGCTAGGAAGAAGGCATTGGATTTGGTAAATAGGATCCTCCCCCACCCCCCCCCAAAAAAGAATAGTGTCTGTGGAATGATAGGGGCAGAAGTCAGAGGAGAGTATGCAGAGGATTAAAGGGAAATGGCATTGGATGGATACTGTATTTTCAGAAAGCTGGCTAGAGGGAAGGCTAGAGCTAGAGCACTAGTCAAAAGTTGCACAGAAATAATAGGGAAATGTAAATATGTTGGTAGGCTAAGGTGAAACACCCAGCTGAGAAGATCTTCAATTTATCTTCAGTTAATTCATTCCTTCATTAAGTTAGTTATCGCTTATTTAATGCCTACTAGATGTTTTGCTTAGCTCTAGGTGCAGAGAATAAAACAGTAAACAAGGAGCCAACAGGTCTAACAGAAAAGACAGACAATAAGTAAACAAGGAGCCAACAGGTCTAACAGAAAAGACAGACAATAAGTAAACAAGAGCGTTACAGATTGTGATAACAAAAATAGGGAAACATGAGATAGGAAATAACTTTGGGTAGGATGGTCAGGACAGATCTCTCTGAGGAAGTGATATATCTGATCTGAGACCTGGAGAGTTGATAATGAACCAGCCACGTGAAGAACTGGGATACAAGCATTCTGAGCAGAGGGAACTGTAGCCCCTGCAGTGGAAAAGGACTTGGTCTGAGAACCAGAAAAAAAGGCAATATAAACTGGATCATATAAGTAAAGGAGAAATGGTAGGAAGAGACTTGGAATGAAGACAGGGGCCAGATGATAGAATGTCTTGTAAATAATTTATTTTTTATTCAAAGAAAATGAGAAGCTATTAAAGATTTTAAGAAGTAGAATGCCACAAAGGTATTAGTTCTGATCGGAAATTTGCTTATGGATGGTCAAAAATGCTGTTAATCGAACCACTTACTATGGATCAAGTACTGTGCTAAGCACTATGATGAATTATCTAATTTTTCTCTCACAATTTTATGAGGCAGAAGCTATTATGACTCCCATTTTGCAAATGAGGAGACTGTGGCAGATGAGCTAGCTGTTCTTAAATTTATCTACTTGAGCACACAGCTAATGTACATCTTCCACTCCCCTTACAACTATGGAATGCGGGTAGAGGTGAGTATCATCTCCAGGCCAAGGTGGTTAAAAGCATTGGTGCCTTTTCCATTTTTTCTCTCTGCAGCCACCTGCCAGATGTCAGAGAAACTTTAAAGCCAAGGATTGAAAATGGGGAGAGATAGTGTCTCTGAATGACTGGCCACAGGTGCTAAGCCACCCTGCTGACCCACATTGGGCCTTGAAAAAGGCAGGAAATAAGGTTTTAGTGTGTTAAACCACACACACACAATTTTTGCTGTGAATGATCTCTTTTATAAAATCAGTAATGCCGGTTAATCTACTCTCTTTTCTATAGGATATGCTAAAAATTTGTACTTGCCTCCCCTACATTCAATGTGCCCTTTTGAGGCTTTGTGATTTGGGGACTTACATCATTTAATACACAAGTGTGAGAGTGCAAGTGAAAGAGAAAAATAAGAAGCTCTTCAATAAGAGGGTGGGAATAATTTCTAATTGATTAAAGGAAATGATGCTCATTGGTGGTTGATAATGCACTCTAGTCAACACCCTCCATGTGGTCACCATCCAGATAAACAGCTTTTCCTCATACAGGCTCCTTTTAAATACTTGACACACTGCTTCTCATCACTATGTTTCACTTTCTCTAACATTCTCTCTAATATTCTAAATTTATACATGTCATGTCATCTCACTTCTTTACCTACAGAAACATGTGGCCTTCCTTATAGAAATATCTCTATAATTTTGGGACCTGAATTCAGACTCTTTTTTAAAAAGAAACTCTCTAGACTGTAAACTCCATGAGGACATGGTCATGTATGTATCTACTGGATGGTATTTATCTAATCTTTGGTAAGGTGTCTTCCATATAATAGAGGCTCAACAAATAATTGTGGAATAAATAAACCATGTATAAATGAACAGATGATACAATGGCCCTCAGGTTGATAAGAAACTTCTGGAATTCAATAACAAACAAAATGTAATGACATCATTAAGTGGAAATGATTTATGGGAAGTTACAAGAAAACTCCCAAAATCTCTCTTGATCTTAGAGTAATGCAGAATAAACAACAACAACTTTGTTTATCTTAATGTTCCAGAAATCCATAGAATAGAAAGAAAAACACATGTTTGTGTTTTACGTGGTATCCGGAAGAAGAGTGTTCTAGCAAATATTAAATCTGTGTGGGGTTTTTTCCTCTCGTATATAGTGAGGAAAAATCCAACTACTTCATAATACAGGCCGGATAGTAATTCCTAGACAGAAAATCACCTCAGAATTACTTAGGAAGAATCTCTGAAAAGTTACTCTAGAACCTCTGAGAGTGGCCTACCAATATGTTACCAATATTTCGTATTTTAAAGGTTGTGAGAAAATCAACACCACTTCTGCATGGCAAATGCTGAAACCTGACCTGAAGCAATACCTCTGAGACAGCTGTTCACCTTAGGAAGTGGCTATAATTGAAAACCAAAAAATCTAATCACTAAGAGTTCAACCCTAGAATCTCAAACATAGAGCACAGATAAGATTTGCTTAAAAGAAACAGCATCATCTTCCCTCCAAGAATCTCTCATTGATTTTGTTCTCACTGATGGACAGTGATCAAGTGTCCACAAGATTATAGAGCACTGAACCTCAAATAAGATTCGATGAGGCATCGAAGAGCAACAGCAAAGGTAGACTGAATAGATCAGACTTCCGGTATGGCATTCAAAGTTGGATAACAGTTCATTCTTTGGGTTGAGAATGCCCCTGAGATGCTTGGCTAACTCTGGAGTGAAGCAAAAGGAATA